GTGGCTCGCGGGCTCTACAGCGCAGGCTCAGTAGTTGTGGCGCACGGGCTTAGTTGCTCCGCAGCATGTGGGATCTTCCCGGACTAGGGATCGAACACGTGTGCTCTGCATTGGCAGCCAGATTCTCAACCATTGTGCCACCAGGGAAGCCCTATGATAGCAATTTGAGCCTGTATTACCTCTATTATTCTGTGTATTATCATTATTTTATACTTGTATTACTTCCAGCTCCTACCCTAATAGGCATCTAGATGTTAACATCTGCAGTAGCTATCATAGGACCTTATGCATACTAGGCACTCAGGAAATATTTGCTGAATTGAATTGAATGAGGACCATAGAGAAGGTCTCTCATGTTCTCGCGATAGCCTGTCCACCATTACTCTGCGGTTTCCATGTGCAAACTAGAGTTACACGACTAAGGGAAATGGAAGAGGAAGGGGTCACAGCACTGAGGAGCAGAGTCCAATCCCACTGTAATTGCCTGACCAGAATTTCAATTTCTGCTATCACTGGGATAGCTTCAGCCTCAAAATTTTAAGCACTGTTTGGGAAAGTCGCTACATGTGTGATGTGGGTATCAACTCCAGGTTGCTTGGCCTAACTGAAAGAAAACCAGTCATGGCATTTTTGGGTGGAAAGGGACGTTTAGAGACCTTTTTTGACAAGTCTGGAATAAGTTCATGTATGGCTTGTTTTCTTGCAGCAGTACATTTGTTCGGCCTGACTTGGCAGTTGCAACCAGCTGAAGGACAGCTCTATGAAAATGGAGTTAGCAAGGGGAACAGAGGGACTGAATCCATGGATACCACTTACTCTCCAATTGGAGGAAAAGTTTCCAATAAATCAGAGAAAAAAGGTACAGTGATCAAAGTGACTGATTGATTATTGATTACTTTTCTTCTAATTTAGTCATCAGAACCAAACCTGGGATGGTTTCACTTCACATTAAATTTCATGATCACTCGAAAGAAATACTCTACGTGGACAGAATAAATACATGTAAATGTCTTGTGAAAGCAGATTTTCCTTTCTCTAGTGCCTTGAATATAAACCAATTAAACCTTTCAAATATGCTGGCAATTTTGAAAATAGATAAATATTTACAGGATGGAGGTTTCAATACAATGGAAATTGCATTTCGCATATAAGTACCCTGAAGCAGCGTGGGATTTTGATTAAGTTCTCTGTGTCCAAGCCCAGCATTTATATATAACACTTTACAAAGGGTATATGGAAATTTCTTCTGTTTATAATAAGAAAATGCCTTCTATGTGTAATACAAGGGCGAATGTTTATGTCAAAGTGGGGGAATATGAATTTTTTTTCCTAGTTGGGAAACATGAATTCTTCCTAGTTGGGGAAAAGAAAAAAGCACTTTGAGTACTGAATTGTTAAATTTAACCAACATAAGCTTGAACTACCTGACATTTACAAGAAATGTCACAGTACTGTATCAGCAGTCCCAACATTTTATTCATGTTGAATGATGTTCGTCTTAATATTCAAATATTGAAAATAAGTGAAAATTTGTATTGTGATTTCTCTTGATATAAGATACAGTACAGAGGGCCTTGAGCCATGTAAAATATTGGGATGTCAATTCAAAAAGTAGAAATTGAAAACAAAACGTATAGCCAGTACTATCCTAAATATTTTTAGATGAAATATAAAAAGATGAGTGAATGAATGACCCAACCCTACCCTTAAATTAAGAAGCTTATAATTTTATAGAGGTGGAAAATCAGTTTTGGTTCATTACTTGAAAATAAGAGATTTTTATAGTTGTTTCAATTACTACTCTTGTGTTTTTAGTTCCTTCTGGGGAGTTATTTGTGGGTTTTGTTTTATTTTTGTTTGCTTTTGAAAAAGGAACTTTGCTTTGGTCTATGCTTCAGTAAAAATTAATGCTTAGGGTTCAGGAAAACATTATGGTTTATTCCAGTTTTCAATTCACAGTGCAGTTTGCTTTATGTCCTTTAGAATTACTGTTTCTAGCCTGGGCTGAACTTTCCCAGCAATTTCATTGTTGCTGCTGAGAGGGACTGAGGGTAGTGCAGGGGTCAGAAATGGCAGAGGAAAGGGTCTGAATACACTTGGACATTTTCTCCCTTACCTTCTCTCCTGCTATTTGATTCCTTTATATCTGCAAGTACAAGAGCCACCATTTGGTATCATATGCTTAGGGATTTTTTTTGCCAGTCACACTGAACGTCATGAATTATCTGTTTGATGAAAATGAAGCATACAAGACAGCAGAAGGTCATCACATAGTTGTCATCAGAGCATCTTCATTTTTTTATTCTAATTCAGATTTCTAGAATTCCTTTCCAAAAAACAGTTTGATGATGATGACTAAATTGTATTAAACAGTTACCATGTGCCAAGAGTTACTCCAGACACTAAACATGTATTTATATCATGAAAGTAATGCTATGGTCTTCATTTTCCAAATGAGAAATAGAAGCACAGAGAGTTTAAGTCATTTGCCCAAGGTCACAGAGCTAGAAACTGGTGGTCTGATTCCAGAGACTTGTCTCTTAACTTCTGCGTTATACTGAAATCCACACATGAAACATATATGAAAACCACAAAAGACATTTTACACCCTGAAAGCAAAGCCCCAGTGTCTATTCATGATAGATTTTAGGTAAATTCTGTATTTTAATGTGTTGTGACAAGTTTCATAAACGGAAAATATTTTTAAGTTTCTGCTCAATTACAACAACAAGCAGGCCAAACCAATTTCTTTATTAAGAAAAATCATTAAAGGTTGACGCCATATATACCAAATTATTATCTTAAACTGACTTTTTATGGAAGTCTGGACAAAACGTTAACAATAGCTGCACATCATAGTTCTGTTATATTAGGTCTTTACTGTGTACTACTTACCAAGTAAAAACATAGCTCCTCTTTTATAAAGTCCTGTGTTTACTAAACCAAGCCTTGCAGAAGATGTAATGTACTATAAGGATATTTTCAAATGGTCACCTGTATCCTTTTACAATTTTCTAGACATCACACAACCCCATAAATACAGTTCTAAACTCGAAAACCAGGTAATTCTTTTTACACTGTTTTCTTTACTCTCCTAGAGGGTTGAACAGTGTAGCACTGTAGTTAAGAGCCTGGACTCTGGAGTCAGGTTTGGCTTTGAATACTGACTTTGTCATTTGCTGGCACTCCAACCTCAGGCAGTTAATTGACACAACCTTGCTGAACCAGTGTCCTTACCTGCAACATATGGATGATAATACAGTACCTGTCACATAGAGTGGCTGTAAGGAGTAAGTGAGACAATGGATGTAAAGCACATTGTTTAATTTAGCAAAATAATTATTACTGGGTCAGATGATTGGAAAATTACCTTGTATTGGCATCCTATTAGATACTATACATCCTGCTTTCAAACTGACATCAACTTTTTTATGAATGATGGCCTCGTTAGGATTTAGATGTTTCCTCTCTTTAAAGTTTGATTTCTCTTTACTTACCAATTTAACATCTCTTATTTTTAAATTATCATCACTTTCATCATCAAAGGCATGGATAAGTAGAATGGCACTTCAAAAATAATCAAATTCTACTGGAATTGGTTCCCTATTAACAGTAGCTATATGTATCTGCTTCTCATTAGGAGATTAAAGAATTTTCTCACCACTTAATTTTCAAAATGAAAGAAAAAAGAATATTTGATTATATATATTTAGTATGCTAAAATTTTCTTTATTAAATTTATTTGAAAAATTTAAATTTAATTTCAAAAAGAAGATATAAGTCACAACCATATGTCAGAATCTACCAGAAAATCAGTTATCAATTGTTCACTAATGTAAAATTGAAAGTATTGCACTAAAACAGGCCCTACTACCTTAGAAGCTTACAAACTAGTCATAACTCACTCTTTCTCTTTTAACTTGTAAATATTATGTAACAGCTGGTTTAAACAGAGCAGGGGATATGAACAAATGAAAGACTTGTTCCTAGACCTGAGTCATGTAAGGTCCATAAATTGAACTGAAAATAATTACAGTGTAACTTATCAACCAGTATAGAATGTTAAAATCTTAAAGATTATCAAATCCAATATCATTATTTAAAGATGAAGAAACTGAGGTCCAGAGGGGTCAAGAACACACAGAGATGGTGGCGCAGTGGTTGAGAATCCGTCTGCCAATGCAGGGGACACGGGTTCGAGCCCTGGTCTGGGAAGATGCCACATGCCACGGAGCAACTAGGCCCGTGAGCCACAGCTACTGAGCCTGCACGTCTGGAGGCTGTGCTCCGCAACGAGAGCCCACGACAGTGAGAGGCCCGTGCACCGTGATGAAGAGTGGCCCCCGCTCGCCGCAAGTAGAGAAAGCCCTCACACAGAAACGAAGACCCAACACAGCCATAAATAAATAAATTAATTAATTAAAAAAAAAGAACACACAGAGAACTGGGACTAGAACCAAGGACTCCTGGTTCCACCTCTTCTGTTTTCTCTTCTATTATTGTAATAATGTAACACAATCTAAACATGTAAATTCCTAAAGAGGTTTTCTAAGGGGGAATCAAAGACAGAAACTGAGCTGGTAAGAAAATTAATTTTATTCAGGCTATTGCAATAGGGAGAGCACCCCAGGTTCAAAGATCAGTTTTGCCTAAGGCTTTTATAGGAGGAGTACATAAGCTACAAGCGGGATGATTTACAGTTGGAATTGTTTTGTACTCAGGGCAAATCTCAGTGAGTCAGATGAACAGGAAATGTTTTCTCTGTGTCTAGCTAGTTGAAGGGGAACAAACAGTTCTAAACTCCGATAATTATTTATGAAAGAATGGGAAATTGGAGGGTCTGTATCTGGTTTTTCAGCAGGTCCCAGCAAAAGGGGAAAGGTCCGTGTTTGGCCTTGTCACAGGCGAACAAAGGAGTCATGTGCAATTCTTACGGGAGTGCTGAGAAAGAATGGCCAGAGAGCCTTCTCTAATAAGTCTTAGGGAAAAGGGTTTTCAATTTGGTTATGTTTGCTTATTTATTTGTTTGTTTTGTGGTAAGCCACTTCCTAAATCATAAAAGCGTGGAAGGATATCTGAAAGCAAAAGGTTGGGGTAATCTCTTAACCAGCTCTGTTTTCCAGGGGCATAGGGCTCAGGTAAAATCCAACACTGTCAGTAACAATCTGAATGAGGAAGAAGCTTATTGGGTAGATGAGGGTACTGAATTCCTGCAGGTTGGATGCCCAGGAACAAAAAGGGTGGATGGAGAGACAGAAAACTAAAGGACACTAAAGACAACCTTTATCTCCTTTACAATTTTTGCAAAAGGCTGGCCTTGGGAGGAAGTGACATTTCTTTTAAGTTCATCCTACAAAATCTATCTCCGCAAAGTTGAAGGAAAAAAAAGACATTTTCTAGTCAATGTCTGCTGAATATACGACCATGTAAACAACATATAGCTGATTGATATGACACAATCTATAGCCTGTCGTGAAGATGCTTCAGCCAGGACCAAACTGTGACTATAGCTTCACCTGTCTGGGCTCCAGTTTCTCCTCTGAAAAAAAAGGGAGTTGGCTTTGTAGGGAAGGAAAAATAATTTTACCTTTACCCTTCAGGTTCTTGGCTGAGACCCCCTTGTAATAAAAAGAAAGATAAATAGGAGAAAAACAAGCAAGTTAAATAACATGTGCACCTCCTGTTTTCATGGGAGAGACCCAGGAAAACTGAGCACCTCCCCAAAATGACCCAAGCCATCACCTTAGATACCATCTCATCTGAAAACAAAAGATGTGAGGGGAGTCAGTTAAGGGAGGGTATCAGGAAAAGCACAGTAAGTGGAGTATGGGTGTTATGCAGATTTAAGTCATTTGCTTCTCCTTTGATCAGAATTTCTAAAGATTTAGAGTCATCCTTCTCTTCCTGGTAGAGAGGGGGAGACACCCTTACAAATGGAGGTTTCCCTTATAAATCTTGCAAAGGGTAACTTTTAACTTGTAATTTTTAACTTGCTAAAGGCTCTCTTGCTAAAGGGTAACTCCTATTCACTTTTCAGATCTTTTCCTATGTCTGCTGTTTTGTAAAAATAATCAGCTCAAGATAATCCTTATGCCAAAGAGGCATATTTTGGGGTGGCAAATTCTGCTCCCCTTCAGCTTGCAACCCTTTGTGGGGGAGAGGTCATGGGAAGTGAAACACTTTTTGCAAATGAAATCTTACCTAGCAATTAGAAATATACAGCAGGTAAGAGCCACCTTTCTCCAGATAAGGTGAGGGAGGGGAGCAGACTCCTGCCACCCCTCTCTTTTCCTTACCCTTTCCTTCCTTTTCCTCCATTCTCTTCCCAGCCGCTAAGGCTTTGACAAGACGGGGTGATGCTCCGTAGGCCTAGCTTATCTCTAAGGTCCCTTCTAGCTGTATACAGTATGAGTCAGTGAATCCGAATTATGCAGTTAACAAAGAACAATTAGCCATTCCAAGTAAAGGTTGACCTATTTTTGCAAAAGGGGATATACTCCTGGGAAGTGGTTGAAATGTGTGTCTGTAAAATTTGTAAACCGCGTTTTCCCATTTAAAGTACTTGCAGAGAATTCTGTTGTGATTCAAATAATTAATTCCCAGTTTTCTGCATTATAAGTTTTGGTTTTTGACATGTATATAACAATAATCATATGCACTTAGAGAGCATTTACAGTTTCAGAATACTTCAATGTCTTTTATCCACATAACAGTTTTATGCTGTAGCAGCTATTGTTACGCTTGTTTTACAGTTGAAAAGGAGAACACAAGAAGGTTAAGTGACTTGCCTTGCATAATAGACATAACTACTGGCAGAGCTGAGATTAGGATCCAATCTCTTAACTGTTATCTCAGCACCCTTTTTTGGGTCTTTTCTTTCTTTTTTAAAAAATTCTATTCTCAAGGCCAGTTGTTTAAGTAACAGCTGTCTTGATTAGAGATCGCAATGCTAACAGCCACATCCCTTCCCTAAGAATACTTTTTTTTTTGCCATTTTCTGCACTGTTCTTTTTATTGATATTTTATTGTCCTTGTAATTCCTTTTAAGTCTTTTATTCTCCCACTACATACATTACCATATCTTCCCCATGTGGATAATCATCTTTAGTTATACCCTTTCTAGTCCCACTACCAATATAAATAGTCACCATATCCACCATGTTTTATCAATTTTCTCTTGCTGTATCCTTAACATCTGGTTGCCATCACTACTTAATTTCAGAAGTATACTTAGTCTTCTCACCTGTCTCCATAGTGTTCTGCATTTTCTATTTAAAAAAATTTTTTTTGAAATATAGTTGATTTACAATATTATATTAATTTCAGAGGTACAGCATAGTGATTCAGTATTTTTACAGATTATACTCCATTAAAAGTTATTACGAGATAATGGCTATAACTCCCTGTGCTATACAATATATCTTTGTTGCTTATCTATTTTATACATAGTAGCTTGTATCTCTTAATCCCATATCCCTAATTTCCCACTTCCCTCTCCCCACTGGTAACCATTAGTTTTTTTACATCTGTTAATCTCCTTCTGTTTTGCATATATGTTCATTTGTATTATTTTTTACATTCTATATGTAAGTGATATCATACAGTATTTGTCTTTGTCTCACTTATTTCACAAAGCATAATATTCTCTAGGCCTATCTGTGTTGCTGCAGCTTGCAGTATTTCATTCTTTATTATGGCTGAGTAATATTCCATTGTATATACATACCACATCTTCTTAAGCTAGTCATCTGTTGATGGGCACTAGGGTTCCTTCCATGTCTTGGCTATTGTTAATAGAGCTGCTATAAACATTAGGGTGCATGTATCTTTTCATTTTTCCATTTGTATACCCAGGAGTTGGATTGCTAGATCACATGGTGGTTTAATTGTTAATTTTTTGAGGAAACTCCATACTGTTTTCCACAGTGGGTGCATCAATTTACATTCCCACCAACAGTGTACAAGTATTCCCTTTGCTCCACATCCACTCCAGCATTGATTATTTGTAGACTTTTTGATGATAGCCATTCTGACAGGTGTGAGGTGAGATCTCACTGTAGGTTTGATTTGCATTTCTCTAGTAATTAGCGATGTTGAGCATCTTTTCATGTGCCTGTTAGCCATCTGTATATCTTCTTTGGAAAAATGTCTGTTCAGGTCTTTTTCCCATTTTTTGATTGGGTTGTTTCGGTTTTTTTGATATTGAGTTATAGGAGCTGTTAATATATTTTAGGTATTAACCCCTTGTTGGTCATATCATTTACAAATATTTTCTTCCATGCAATAGGCAGTCTTTTCATTTTGTCACTGGTTTCCTTTGCTGTGCAAAAGCTTTTAAGTTTGATTGGGTCCCACTTGTTTATTTTTGCTTTTATTTCTTTTCCCTAAGGAGACAGAGCCAAAAAAATATTGCTATGATTTATGTCAAAGAATGTTCTGCCTATGTTCTCTTCTAGGAGTTTTACAGTTTCAGGTATTACATTTAGGTCTTTAATCCATTTTGAGTTTATTTTTGTATCCAACTTGTTTATTTTTGCTTTCATTTCTTTTCCCTTAGGAGACAGATCCAAAAAGATATTGCTATGATTTATGTCAAAGAATGTTCTGCCTATGTTCTCTTCTAGGAGTTTTATGGTTTCAGGTATTACATTTAGGTCTTTAATCCATTTTGAGTTTATTTTTGTATATGGTGTGAGGAAATGTTCTGATCTCATTGTTTTACATGTGTCTGTCCAGTTTTCCTAGTACCGCTTGTTGGAGAGACTGTCTTTTCTCCATTGTATATTCTTGCCTCCTTTGTCATAGATTAATTGATGATAGGTGCATGGGTTTTATTTCTGGGCTGTCTATTCTATTTCACTGATCGATGTGTCTGTTTTAGTGCCAGTACTGTGCTTTTTTTTTTTTTTTTTTTTGCGGTACGCGGGCCTCTCACTGTTGTGGCCTCTCCCGTTGCGGAGCACAGGCTCCGGACGTGCAGCCTCAGTGGCCATGGCTCACGGGCCCAGCTGCTCTGCGGCATGTGGGATCTTCCCGGACCGGGGCACGAACCCGTGTCCCCTGCATCGGCAGGTGGGCTCTCAACCACTGCGCCACCAGGGAAGCCCCAGTACTGTGCTTTTTGATTACTGTAGCTTTGTATTATAGTATGAACTCTGAGAGTGTGATACCTCCAGCTTTGTTCTTTATCCTCAGGATTGCTTTGGCAATTCAGGGTCTTTTGTGGTTCCATATGAATTTTAGTATTATTTGTTCTAGTTCTGTGAAAAATGTCATGGATATTTTGATAGGAATTGCATTAAATCTGTAGATTGCTTTAGGTAGTATGGACATTTTAACAATATTAATTCTTCTAATGCAAGAGCATGGGGTATCTTCCCATTTCTTTGTATCATCTTCAGTTTCCTTCATCAATGTTTATAGTTTTCAGAGTATAGGTCTTTTACCTCCTTGATTAAGTTTTTCCTAGATATTTTATTCCTTCTCTTTCTGATAGTTAATTATTATTATATAGAAAAGCAACAGATTCATGTATATTAATCCTGTATCCTGCAACTTTGTGGAATTCATTTATTAGTTCTAATAGTTTTTCGGTGGAGACTTTAGGGTTTTCTGTATAAAGTATCATGTTATCTGCAAAGAGTGACAGTTTTAATTCTTCCTTTCCAATTTGGATGCCTTTTATTTCTTTTTCTTGTCTGATTGCTGTGGCTAGGACTTCCAATACTATGTTAAATAGAAGTGGTGAGAGTGGCCATCCTTGTCTTGCTCCTGAATTTAGAGGAAATTTTCAGTTTTACACCCTTGAGTATGATGTTAGCTGTGGGTTTGTCATAAATGGCCTTTATTATATTGAGATTTGTTCCCTCTATACCCACTTTGATGAGAGTTTTTATCAATGGATGTTAAATTTTTGTCAACTGCTTTTTCTGTGTCTATTGAGATGATCATGTGATTTCTATTTCTATTCTTCCTTTTGTCGATGTTGTGTATCACATTGATTGATTTGTGAATTTTGAAGCATCCTTGTATCCTTGGCATAACTCCAACTTGATCATGGTGTCTGATTCTTTTTGTGTATTGTTGGATTTGGTTTGCTAATATTTTGTTGAGGATTTTTGCATCTATATTCATCAGAGATATTGGCCTGTAATTTTCCTTTTTTGTCATGTCTTTGTCTGATTTTGGTATCAGGGTGATGGTGGCTTCGTAGAATGAATTTAGGAGTGTTCCATCCTCTTCAATTTTTTTTTGAATAGTTTGAGGATAGGTATTAGTTCTTCTTTATATGTTTTATAGAATTCCCCTGTGAAGCTGTCTGGTCCTGGACTTCTGTTTGCTGGGAGTTTTTTTCTTACAGCTTCAATTTCACTACTAGTGGTCTCTGTGTTCATATTGTCCATTTCTTCTTGACTCTGTCTTGGCAGATTATATCTTTTAAGAAATTTGTCCATTTCTTCTAGCTTGTCCAATTTGTTGGCATACAGAAGGGTCTTGTGTTTTTAATCCAACCAGCCACCTTATGTCTTTTGATCAGACCATTTAGTCCATTGACGCTTCAAGTAATTATTGATAGGTATGTACTTATTGCCATTTTATTACTTGTTGTCCTTCTATTCTAAATGACAGTCTTGCTAGGTAAAGTATCTCAGGTTGCAGGTTTTTCCCTTTCAGGACTCTGAATATATGATGCCACTCCCTTCTGGCCTGCACAGTTTCTGCAGAGAAATCAACTAGTAGCCTTATGGGGATTCCCTTGTGTGTGAATCTTTGTTTTTCTCTTGCTGCCTTTAGGATTCTCTCTTTATCTTTAACTTTTGGCATTTTAATTATGATATTTCTTGCTGTGGCTCTGTTTGGGCTCACCTTGTTTGGGACCCTCTGTGCTTTCTGTACCTGGATATCTGTTTCCTTCTTCAGGTTTGCGAAATTTTTAGCCATAATTTCCTCAAATACATTTTTGATCCCCTTCTCTTTCTATTCTCCATTTGGAACCCCTATAGTGCAAATGTTGGAAAGCTTGATGTTATCTTAGAGATCTCTTCAGTTGCTTTCTTTTTTTTTTTTTTTAATTTGTTTTTCTTTCTGCTGTTCTGATTGGGTGATTTCTATTATTCTGTCTTCCAGACCACTTATGCATTCTTCTGTATCACTTAGTCTGATATTCATTCATTCTAATACGTTTTTTTGTTTCAGCTTTTGATTATTCATTTCTGATTGGGCTAGTTCCTTGTTAAAATGTTCATTGTTTAGATCATTTCTTTTCCGTAATTCAGTTAACATTTTTATACCAATGTTTTAAATTCTTTATCTGATAAATTATTATCTGATACTTTATTTCTGTTTCATTATTCATTTTTTCAGGACTTTTCTCTTGCTCTTTCAGTTGAAAGTAGTTCCTCTGCATTTTCATTTTGCTTAACTTTCTCCATCTGTATGAATTTAGGTGAAACAGTTACCTGTTGTGGTCTTGAAGGAGTGTTCTTATGTGGGAGCAGCCCCATACAGAGTGCTAGTGTCCAGCGCCTTTGATGGGAGGACTGGATTTGACGTGGATGCAAATCACATCTTTCCTCAGGGTGTGCTGGCAGCTCTCACCTCGGTAGGGTGTGGGGCTGGAAATGGAGGAACTAGAGCTGCTCAGGATGTGAGGTGGGACTTCCTCTCCGCTCAGTGGTTATCACCGCCCTGTCAGGGGCAGGGTCTAATCAAGTTGCTAGAGCAGAAGCCCCAAGGGTTTGACTCGAGCTGGCTCTGTTTCAAGTGTGTGATTTTCCCTCTCCCCACACTGAGACCTTTGCCCCAAAGGAGGGGAGTGCTGAAATAAGCGGGGCCCGTGTGCACACAGAGGTCTGATGCACTGCCTGTGTAGGTGTCTGAGGCTTCACTCAGATGCAGCCTCGGGTGCGAGACCCCTTCGTTTCTCACAGTTGATCACTGCCCACTGCCTCCACTACCCCTCCCGCCTTGTGGAATTGCTCCACAGGTCTGGCGGGACCTGCTTGGACTCTCCGCATGTATCGAGTAGTGAGCTGCAGTAGAGCGGCTGCCGTCAGAGATCTGGGCTGCTTCTGAGGCGCTGCCTGAGTAAGTGCCAACGATAGCTCTGCCCCCGCACTGGATCACCTCTGCGGCCCGTGATCTAATCTTTTCCCCAGTCATATCAGCCCCAGATCCAGTGCCGTGCTATGGCGTGGAGTGACTGGGGCCAGAGCGTTCACTCAGCTCAGGCTGTGGTGCATGGCATGGTGGTCTCAGGAAACCCAGCAACTGCGGGGGCAGACCTCACAAGCAGAGTGCAGGCTTCACCAGACTTTCTATCTGATCCAGCGATCCTCCAGACAGCTAAGGGGGCTTGTCTTCTCCGCATAGTACTCATGGACTGAGGCGTCCAGTCTGTGGCTCGACCTGCTCACTCCCCAGGGCCGGTATCCGCCTATGATATCCCTTTTCCTCCAGTTCCCCTCCCAGGTGCACAGGTCCCAGGCCGAGACTTTTCTTTCTGTCCTACCCGATTATGTGCGTATCTTTCTTACAACCTTGGTTGTATAGGAGTCCTTCTAACCAGTTTCCATTTTAGTTTTCAGTGAGGATTGTTCCACATGTAGATGTATTTTTGATATGTTGGTAGAGGGATGTGAGCTCCATGTCCTCTTACTCTGCCATCTGTATCTCCCTCCTCTCCTGAAGAGTACTTTGCAAATCTTACATTTCACACCAAAGATCTAGGTTCCCCAAGCACTCCCTCCTCCTCAAAGGAGAACACATACACTTGCACACACGCAAGTACCCTTGGGAATTGAAAATTAAACAACAGCACAGAATGCACCTTTCTGACCTCCTTTCCTTGTAGACTTAGCTGAAGAGGTGTGTGTGTGTGTGTGTGTGTGTGTGTGTGTGTGTGTGTGTGTTGCTTGTTTTTTGGCTTTGTTTTGTTTTCTTTCCACCTACGGCATAGTTACATTTGGAGGCAATTTATGCTATAACAGTTGTGGGCCCTGAATAACCGGTTGAATTCTAAATCTACTTACAGTTTCACTGATATTTATTTCACAGACCCAGTCAGTAAGTGAAGATTCATTTTGTGGTACCAGAGTAAAAATCTGCACCATCCCCACCCAGGTAATCATTGTGCATTCAGATGGAACACAGTCCTGCATTATAATTCTGTGGTTCTTCAATATTCGTCCATAGGACTTGTGGATATTAAAATGCACTCAGTTGCCCTTTGAGTCAGCCCATAGTTTCAGTATCTTTTACTTAGAGGGTATTAGAGCCTAGGATATTGTTGTGGAATTGCAAATAATTCATATAAGCACAACAAACCACATGAATAAAATAGTAGTAATGCACTAACAAAGACAACAGTGTTGGGAGCATAACATTATTAGTTTTAAAGATTGATGGCAAATTACAGTAAATGTTTCCTATAATGCTATATAGATGTTTCTCTAACACAGGGTTTCAGGGGGCCCAGCTAGAGTGCTGCAGCTTGTTTTCAACTATATTAAATCACTTTATCAATATACTTCAGTTTTAACAAAAGCTTTTCTAAAGCATACTGGAGGCCTGACTTCTAAAAAGATTTATGGAAAGCGTTCACTATGCTAAAAGGCCAGCTTATTTACAGTATAAAAAATTCATGTTAAATGTTCTTGGCCATATATGTTTTACGTTTCATTCTTGTTTCATTTTAATCCTCATTTTCCCTTTTTTTAAACTTTTTTTTTAAACATACCTTTCCTGTGGTGCCTATGAAATATGTCTGCCTTTTGGTCCCTCTACCCCAATAGTCTACACCTGACAGAGGCACTAAATGGTATGCTATAGAATGACATATTTATCCTCCTGGAGTAGTCCTTTGAAAGCTATGGGATCTTCCCATAACATGTTTATAACATCTTAGTTTTTTGAAAGAAGCAGTCCATTGTAGAAATTTATCAGCCATGTGTATATCTAATCCTGTTGAGTGTCCAGTTATATCTTTCGGCCTGTATTATTTTTGGAGGAAGTTCAAACATTTAGTAGCTTTTTTGTGAAGTCAAGGTAACTCTAGTATGGAAAATTTACTTTTAAAAATAAAGTGCTAAAGTTCCAGGATCTAATGCACAAGTCTGCATTTTTTCCTATGCATAACTTTGGCAATCCCATAGATAATAATCACAAATCCTTTCTTAGCCTTTGCTTTTCTAATACTCAGAGTCTTTGGTTTTACTTCTGTACTCTACTTGTAGCTCCTATGCTCCCTTAGTCCTTTTAGTTGCCTTTTCCTATTTCCATTTTATATCCTACCAAAGGTGTCTTCACCAGGACTGTACACGGATACCGTCTTGCCATTGCCAGGGGGTCAGTGAGAGGGAAGAATACATGTAAAAAGTTGAATTGTATGAGATTCTTGACCACCTCAAACCCTCCATTAAAATAATATCAAGGGAAGAAAAATGAAATCTTAGTATTCAGAAACAGAGTAGAAGCTCATGATTTTTAATCCTACTTTGAGTCAAGGTGCTATTTTAACTGTAGTAACTACTGTGGAAAGTTAAAAAATGAAGCAGAAGACATAGCTTTTGCCCTTGAGAAAGTTCCTATTAAATAGTAGAGCTGGAAGAAACATGCATACATACACACACAGTGCAAAATAACATGCAAACAACTGTTGTACAGAAATAGAAATAAGATGGTTAGGTGACTAAGAGGCTTAAAAGAAAGAAGATGAAAAGATGATTCTTATTATAGAAGTAGCTTGAGCTGAGCCTTGAGAAACAAGAAAAATCAATCCTAGTTGAACTTAAAGAGCGCATGTTTAGGAGACTGGAATGATAGGGTGGTAAGGGGGAAATGCAGGTGGTAATAACCTACGTGGTAAATGAATAATGAAGCAACAGAGGCAGCAGATGGAGACAGTTTGGCAAGGAAAGGAAGGATATAAATAGTTTGATAACTAGATGAAGGGGCAATTGTTTCATTTTATTCCTTTTTTTTATTAAAGAAGAGAGATGTGTGGTTGTTTGAATATACAGAATAAGAAACCAATAGAGAGGGAGACATGGAGGGTGCTAGTAAGAAAGGAGATGGTAAAGAGACAAAAATCTCTCAGGAGGAGAGAAGGGGAGAGAGGAGCCTCAGAGATAAACTGACACCAATTGTATGGCACACTGTGTATGAGAGAGACACTTTGATATTGTGGAAATAAGAGGTAGGAGTTCAAAAAGAGGACACAACACTTTCAATAGATGTTACCATCTATTATGATTACTATTATTATTATTACTCTCTGTAATGAGTTTTATTTGTGAAGAAAAGTTTTAATTTTTTTAAATTAATTAATTTATTTTTGGCTGCATTGGGTCTTTGTTGCTGTGCGCGGGCTTTCTCTAGTTGCGGTGATCAGGGACTGCTCTTCATTGGGGTGTGCAGGCTTCTCATTGTGGTGGCTTCTCCTGTTGCGGAGCACAGGCTCTAGCCACACGGGCTTCAGTAGTTGCAGCACACAGGCTCAGTAGTTGTGGCGTGCGGGCTCTAGCGCGCAGGCTCAGTAGTTGTGGTGCACGGGCTTAGTTGCTCTGCGGCATGTGAGATCTTCCCGGACCAGGGCTCGAACCCATGTCCCCTGCATTGGCAGGCGGATTCTTAACCACTGCACCACCAGGGAAGTCGCAAAGTTTTAATTTGATATAATTATAGATTTTCTGGATTCTCAAAATGTATCAAAATCTGTAGCAATATGACAACCCATGAGAACTGGTGCCTACGCTGGCTGCTTCTCTTTCCCAAGACCTGGCACAAGAAGATATGTAACCCCCTCATTACTCTCAGCTATGGGATAGGAAGGTCATAATATAATTGTGTTTATTAAATGCCTGGTACCTAGATGTCAAGAATTTAGACAGACGTGACTGTCCTGTCCTCTGGGAACTTATATTCTAAGATACAAAGGGGGAAGCTACAGAAAATGAGCCATGACCTGCCCTCCTGCCACTATCCCAAAGTCCAGAAGGATGTGATCATAGTAACCTACATATAACAAACATCTAACATTGTATAAAATATAGAAAATAGGCGTCCCTGCTGTGAACTAACAATTACATGTCCTAAAAGTACTAACCAGGAGACAGTTCAGCTTCTAGGTAACAGGTGACCTTCTAATACCATTTGGAAACATCAAAACTCTTATGACAGTGCATGATAGTTTGTGTGAATGTGTGCGTAGGTTATCCATGGCAACTTATACCTTCCAACCATATTTTTTGTAATAGCTTTGTTGAGATATACAGTTGTATGATTAGAAATTTTTTTTTAAGTGACAGGAATATGTACATCCATATACAGTTGTCCCTTGGTATCCACGGGGATTGGTTCCAGGACCCACCCAGGAACCAAAATCTGTGGATGCTCAAGTCCCTTATATAAAATGGTGTAGTATTTGTGTATAAATTATGCACATCCTCCCATATACCTTAAATCATCTCTAGATTACTTATAATACCGAATACAATGTAAATTCTATGTAAATAGTTGTATATTTGAGTGCAGCAAATTCAAGTTTTGCTTTATGGAACTTTCTGGGATTTTGTTTTTCTGAATATTTTTGATTCACCATTAGTTGAATCCACGGATATGGAACCCATGGATATGGAGGGCCAACTGTAATTTGCATACTATATAATTCACTGATTTAATGTCTACAGTTCAGTCATTCTTAGTATATTCAGAGTTGGGTAGCCGTCACTACTATTTAATTCTAGAATATTTTCATCACGCCAGAAAGAAGCTTCATAGGCACTGGCAGTCACTTCCTATCCCTAGCTCTCCCCAGCCCCTGGCTAC